ATTCAAACTTTTAAAAAAATTCAATTTTATTAACTAATTTGCTAATTAATTATTCTTGTTTATTAACTTCAAAAATTTTTATAAAATTCTTCGCAAGAATTCAATTATTTTCATAAATAATAACATTTTTCGTAAGAATTCAATTATTTTTATAAATAGACGTAGTAACATTTTTTTGTAAAAATACAATTATTTTTAAACAAAATTTTAATAAAATTTCACGAACAAATACAATTATTTTCTAAAATCTTAATAAATCCTTCGAAACGATTCAATTATATTTATAAATAGTAAAATTCTATGCAAAAATTCAATTAATTTCAAAAAAATTTCACGAAAGAATTCAATTTTTTTTTCTTAAATTCGTTATAAAAAAATTCAATAGAATTCTATTATTTTCTAAAATCTAAATAAATCCTTCGAAAAAATTCATTTATATTTATAAATAGTAAATTTCTTTACAAAAATTCAATTATTTACAAAAAAATTTCACAAAAGAATTCAATTTTTTTTCTTAAATTCGTTATAAAAAAATTCAATAGAATTCAATTATTTTCTAAAATCTAAATAAATCCTTCGAAAAAATTCATTTATATTTATAAATAGTAAATTTCTTTGCAAAAATTCAATTATTTTCAAAAAATTTCACGAAAGAATTCAATTCGTTATAAAATTTTTCAAAAGAATTCAATTATTCAATTATTATTTCTAAAATTTAAATAAAATTGAATAATTAAATGTTTAATTTCAATTATTAACGAACACGATTATTTTAAGAACTTGAAAGAAATTGTTCATAAAATTCAATTATTTTCAAAACATTTAATTAAAATTATTAAAGAAACTCCATTATTTAAAAAAAATTTTAAGAAATTATTCAAAAAGAATTTAATTTGGATTTTTATAGAAATTTTAATAAAAGTCTTCACGAGAATTCAATTATTATTTTCCTCAATAATAAAATTCTTCTAAGTAATTAAATTATTATCAAACTAAGCAAAACTACACGTGCGTTTTGAAATTTAATAAAAATTCTTCATTTTTTAAAAAACATAATTTTTCTAACAGTTTTTTTTTTAATGTAATTGTATGAACAACTCGTTTAGAAATCGCAAAGATATTTCTAACAGCAACTTGAATGTAAGATATTTTTGATTAAATAATTGAATTTTTGAGTTCTACTGGTATAACACTCTTGGTAATGAGTTTATTAAAAAATTTTTTTTAAACTCAATTATTTTTCAAATTTGCAATTAGAATTCTTCAAAAATACGATTATATTTCAAAATAATTTTTAAAAGTAAACAAATAAAATTCATTAAAATATGAAATTTGACAAAATTTTCAATTTTTTAAAATTATTTTCGGAAATACAATTATTTTTAAAAAAAATTTAAGTATCTCCTCAAAAAAAGACAAGAAACAATTTTTCAGGATTTTTTAATTAACTTATTCAAAACTTCAAAATTAAAAACTTATTCTTATTTATTTTTTCACAGGAATTAAAATTTCATATAATTTTAATGAAAAACCTTTTGAAATTGAATTATTTCTAAAAATTGCAATTGTAATTCTTCCAAAATTCAATTATTTTTTTTAGAATTTTTGAATTAAATTATTCAAAACTTAAAGAATTCTTAAAGAAAAATAATGTAGTTAATAATTTTTTAGAATAAAACTTTAAATATTTTTATACTTTTGCTTCCTTTAAATTTTCAAGAAATTTAATTTAAAAACCTTTTAAAATTTAGTTAATTCCTAAAATTCCTGTTATAACGCTTTAAATATTCAATTATTTTCTGAAATTTTAACTGAAATTTTTTTAAATCAATTGCTATCAAAATTCAACGACGAGAATTGAATTATTTAAAAAAAATAATTTTTGTAAATTTATTAAATAATGTATTTCCAAAAATCCAATTATATTTATAGATAATTTTTAAAAATGAAAAAATATAATTCTCTAAAAATATAAAATTTTACAAAATTTCCAATTGTTTCAATTTTGTAAAATTATTTTCAATTATATTTAAAATTATTTTAATATAATTCAAGTATATTTTCAAAAAATTTTAATTAATATTTTTCAAAAACCCATTTTTTTCAGAATTTCCAAATTAAATTTTTCAAATTTCAATCATTTTTGTAAAATAAATATTTAAATGCTTATTGTTCTTTATTTGATTAAAATAAAATTTCAAAATAGAATTACTGTAACTTATTATTATTACTGTAACTTATTCAAAATTACTTTCATTATTTTAATTCAATTATTGTTTTCCACAATTTTTAACTAAAATTCTTCTTTAAATTAAATATTATTAATAATTTCTGAAAAATTTCTTTCAACATTATCAAATCCTTTTGTTTACAATTTTAAGTTAAAAGTATAAAAAATTCAAACATTCAAAGATTATAATTCGAAACCTTTTCAAAACTCAATTATTATTTAAAGTTTTAACTGAAATTCATATTTCAATCAATTATTATTAGAAAATTCTACGACAATTCAATTACTTAGATACAAAAAAAAATTTATTGATGAATTCAATGTTTTTTAAAATTCAACTCTCATTTAAAGAATTTTATCAACAAATTTTTAAATAGGTCATTAAAATTCTTTTGACGAATTTCAATAAAATTTTTAAGAAAAATTTCATTTTCGAGAAATTAGATTAAAAATGTATTAAAAATAATTGAATCTCTGTAAAAAAAATTTCATTGAATTGAGAAAAGTTTTTGAAAATAATTGAAATTTTGTCAAGAATTTTATTAAATTTTTTTAAATAATTGAAATAATGCCAAGAATTTTATTAAAATTTTTGAAAATAATTGAATTTTAGAAAAAAATTCTAATATTTATAAAAATAATTGAAATTTTGACTATAACTTTTTTTTAAACTTTTGACCATAATTGAATTTCTGCTAAGAATTTTATTACTTTTGAAAATAATTGAATTATTGCGAAGAAATTTATAAAAAAAAAATTTTTTAAATAATTCATTTCTTTTGGAAAATTTTATTAAAATAGTAGATATTTAAAATTATTGACTGGAGGAGAATTTTTGAAAAAAAATTGAATTTTTTAAAAAGAATTTCATTAAAATTTTTGAAAATAATTGAATTTTGGAGAAAAATTTTAATATTTATAAAAATAATTGAAATTTTGACTATAACTTTTTTTAAACTTTTGACCATAATTGAATTTCTGCTAAGAATTTTATTACTTTTGAAAATAATTGAATTATTGCGAAGAAATTTATAAAAAAAAATTTTTTTAAATAATTCATTTCTTTTGGAAAATTTTATTAAAATAGTAGATATTTAAAATTATTGACTGGAGGAGAATTTTTGAAAAAAAATTGAATTTTTTAAAAAGAATTTCATTAAAATTTTTGAAAATAATTGAATTTTGGAGAAAAATTTTAATATTTATAAAAATAATTGAAATTTTGACTATAACTTTTTTTAAACTTTTGACCATAATTGAATTTCTGCGAAGAATTTTATTACATTTGAAAAAAATAATTGAATTTCTTCGATGAATTTTAATAAAATTCTTAAGAATAATTATAAGTAATTATATATTTTTCGAGAAATTCCATTAAAATTGTATTAAAAATAATTGAAATTTTGCGATGAGTTTTATTATTTATGAAAATAATTGTAAATCTATAAATTTTTTTATTATTTATGAAAATAATTGAATTATTGCGAAGAAAAATTGTAAAGTCAACTCTTTTAAAATTGAATTAAGCAAAATTGAATTAAAGAAAAATTAGATTTCAAGAATAAGCACAATAACTTTAGAAAACAATAATATTTTCCAGGATTCCAATGAAAATTCCCCGACTTTTCTAGGTCTTTTCAAGGTTTACAAAAATTCCCTGACATTTCCAGGTTTTCCAGGTTTCCAGGTTGCGTGGCAACCCTGATAATAGAATAATTAATTATTTTAAAAAATTGCAACTGTATCTTTCTTTTTGAGCTTTTGAAATTGGGGTTAAATTTTCTTACTCTATTTATTTTATTATTTACAAATTAACTGTCAAACTTTTGACATAACAATTCGAACTATAAAACAAAATTAATTTTAAAATTAAAAATATTTAAAAAAAGAAAAAAAAATTAAACAAAAAAGGAAACAAAAACTAACTTTAAACTGCGAATAGATTACCGGAATACAACGATTATTAATATAGAAAGAAGATTTAATTATTTACTTGCAATGTTTGGTATATTTAAATGCAAAGTTCATAGAAAATTGTGTAAAGATTTAAATGTCCCGATTAAATAAATGCTTAGCCTGAAACTTACCCTAACATTTAAATTTCATTTTCGTCTAATTCTATTTAACCGAAAGTTTAACGTGAAACTTTCCTGAACATTTAAATTACATTTTCGTCCAAATAGATTTAGGCGTAAATGTAAAAGTTTCAGTCTAAATGTTTATTTAATCGGGGACATTTAAATCTTTACACAAAATTTCTATAAACTTCGCATTTAAATATTCCAAACATTGTAAATATAACAAGTAAATATTTAATAAATTTTCATCAATTTCGATGCTGTGGGGCTATTAAAATTAAATGAATAAGGCATTAGAAAATTTTTGTAGTTTCAACTCTTCCATAGAGTTCAATACATAAGAGAATTGTAAGGATATAATAAATCCTAATTAACTTTATTAATGTGTTTACAATGAAACATTAAACCAACTTTCTGAAAAGTAGTTCAAAGTATAGTTGAAACCCAATTTATTCGATTGAAATTGGTTTCGATTGTAACCGAACAAAAATGTTATGCATCAGAATATTTATATCAAAATATAATGAATTCACGGAATTTAATTGATATAATAATTAATCCCATGTAATATTGCTCGCGATCTTCTTAAGGAAGGCGTGTGCTTTTATTATACAAAAGGAGGAAAGGGAAAAAGCGACGCATGCTTCTTTCCAAGTTTGCCAGGTTTTGCCCACCGAAACAGGGTTCTCTTCAGTTAGACAGTTTCCGATCGTCTGATCATTGACTCGAACTTTGTCGTCGTTAATAATATTATCGATTTACTTTTGTCGCGACTTAATGCGTGGGTGTAAAGATCTTAAAGGACACTCTTTAATTGATGGAGGGTACCCCGCCGTTGATGAAACTTAATCAGTGAAAAAAAAAAGAAAAATAAACTCTATTGCCGCTGAAGAAAAAAGTTTCTTCAATATTTTTTTGCTATGTTGCATCAAAGAACAATATTAGACTGACAAAAAACATGTTTCAGTTTTAAAAGAAACAAAAAAAAAAATAAAATAAAATCTGTTGAGAATCGGTTTAACCGGTGTGCGGTGTGCGCATCATATTCCTTTTAGAAGACAAAACTCAATAGTTTTGGCGCCATAAACCTTTAAACGTACGTACGTGATAGAATTTTCTATATTCCTCCGAAAGAAAAAAACTTTTCTCATTCAAAAAATATTTAAAACTAACAACATATACTTTTGCAATTTTTTTCAAAATTATCAATAATTTCATTCATTTCGATATGTTTATTCGTTAAATAATAATAATCTAAATCATCTTTATAAATTCTACGAAAAAAATAAATATACTTGAAAATTAATCCTATAAAATTAATATCACTTTTTTGTTTTAATATTTTAGTATCTATTCAATATTAGTTTTTAGTATTATTAATAAATTTTAGTATTCAATATTATATTTTAGTTTTTTTCATGTAAAAAAATTGACTTGATACAAAACTTTTATGAACAGAATCTAAGAAAGAGAAAAATTAAATCTTTTTAAGACTCGCAATTCGCAGTAGTTTAAATGATTATTTCTGGATTGACCCATATATTTCAGTATATTTCCCTCCATTATTTATTACGGCATAAAATTATGTAAATATTTAATAAATAGCTGGAAAATTGTAAAAAAGTTTCGTTATTTTTTTTTTAATTGTGCTACCATTTTTCTAAATATTTACAAGTTTTCCTGTTCACAAACACAAATTCATTATAACTTCAGAATTTTGGAAATAAAATGTCATAACTAAATGAATTTTAATGGAATTTTGTTTGCCTACAAAATATTAAACAAACGTAGTAGTCGAAATATATTTTCAAACTAAAATAATAATAACAATAAAAATAAAAAAAAAATGAAAATAATAACAATAATAATAAAAATTAAAAAAAATAATAATAATAATGATAATAATAATAATAAAAACTATAAATCAAATACGATAAACTTTAAATTTGAACTAGTAAAAATGTTTATTAATTTTAACTTGACTTTTTGCTTTTGAATTAGTTACTAATAAATTAGTAGAAATTACTTTTTATTAGTAAAATTTACTATAAATGACTACTTATTAGTAAAGTTTACTAGCAATTACTTTTTCTTAGTAAAATTTACTAGAAATTACTATTTATTAATAAAATTTACTAGAAATTACTACTTATTAGTAAATTTTACTAGAAATTACTTTTTATTAGTAACATGTACTAGAAATTACTATTTATTAATCAAATTTACTAGAAATTACTACTTATTAGTAAAGTTTACTATAAATTACTTTTTATTAGTAACATGTACTAGAAATTACTATTTATTAATAAAATTTACTAGAAATTACTACTTATTAGTAAAGTTTACTAGAAATTACTTTTTATTAGTGAAATTTACTAAAAATTACTATTTATTAATAAAATTTACTAGAAATTACAAAATTTGACTAATAAATAGTCATTTCTAGCAAACTTTACTAAAAATTACTATTTTCTAAGAATTTTCTAAGAGGTCGGGGTACAGTTATTCTAAAACATATTTTCTAATTCTTTATTTTACAATACTTTTTTACATTCTCATCATATGAGAAAGTATTAGTTTCTAATAAAAGTGATTTTCTAATTTTCTTTTTTCTAATAAAGGTCATTTTTCAAAAATTTCTTTTTTTAACAAGATTCAATTTTTGTAATGACGATCAATAGGTATATGACTAACAAATAAAAATTTATAAAAATTCTTTAATTCTTTAAAAAAAATACTTGAGATTTCGTTAAAAAATTGCAATAAAAAAATAGAAATTATGCAAATTTTTTAACAAAATTTTTAAATAATCGAGTTAAAAATCGTAATTAACAAATAGAAATTATAGGGATTTTTTTCCTAAAGATATTTGAATTTATCTAAAAAAATTTTTTATAAATAATATTTTAATTTTAGGAATTTAACAAAAATTTAACAAAATTTTGTTAAAAAATTGTGATAAGAAATAGGAATTTTAAAAAAATTTTTCTTCTTTTTCAAAAAGAATTAAGAAACTCATAATTTTGTGAACATAATTGTGATTGAGAAGCAGCTTCTATTTCCTAATTTTAATTTTTTAACAATTAACTAACTTTTATCAAAATTATGGAGTTTCACAAATTTTAGAAAAATAAATATTAAAAATCAAAACTTGTTAGAAAATGTTTTTTAGAAAACAGATTTCATTAGAAATCGCTTTTTTTGGAAAAAAAAGATTGGAAAATATTTTTTAGAAAAAGTGACCACCTACTGTAAAATTTACTAGAAATTACTATTTATTAGGCAAACTCACTAAAAAGTACTATTTATTAGTCAAAGTTACTAGATATTTTGAATTAGTTGCTAATAAATTAGTAGAAATTACTTTTTATTAGTAACATTTACTAAAAATTACTATTTATTAGTCAAATTTACTAGAAATTTTTAATTAGTTGCCAATAAATTACTAAAAATTACTTTTTATTAGTAAAATTTACTAAAAATTACTTTTTATTAGTAACATTTACTAGAAATTACTATTTATTAGTCAAATTTACTAGAAATTACTATTTATTGATCAAATTTACTAGAAATTATTCAAAGATTTTCTAAGGATATCAAATTGAGACAAAAAAAAGTATCAAAACTGTCTCAATTTGTTATTCTTAGAAAACCTGTGCTTAAGTAAAATTTATTAGAAATTACTAGGTACTTAGTAATAAAATTTTCTAAATCAAAAGCAAAAAGTCAGTTACTAATTAAAGTAATTAAAAAGTTCATAATTTTTTTAATTTACAAGAAGACTTTTTCTCGTTAAATATAAAAATAATCCGATACAAATACAATAGATTCTCATTTCGAATTTTTTTTTGCCAACACGAAAAAAACATGATTCATTACAGAGTTTGCAATAAGCCAAAAATTAAATGCAATTATTTTAATTAATTTAACAAAGAAATTAGCTGATAAAAATAGAATTCTATTTTTATCTATTTTTTATTCTATTTTTATATTTAAATAAAAAAAATAAAAATAAATTTTTTTAATTGATTTTAATTATTATTATTATAATTATTTTTAACAATAATTATTTTTACATCACCCAAATATATGGAGTGAGGTACTTAAACATTCCGGATAGATAAGCGATAAATATCACCAGTAATATTTCGAAACTAAAAGCGGTTAGCGATTTATTTGTACTAAATGAAGAAAATCGATACTTGAAAAACGGAAACTCTTGTATCAATATACTGTGAGAAAAGTGAAATAACCAAATCATCTTCAAAATCTATATATATGCAGTAGCAGCTAAGACTTGCATTCTCATAAAAAAATAAGGTCTTGTTTTTAAACGAATTTAAAAAATTTTTAATGGAATTTTTCTCTGCATCGAATTCCAATTTACACGCACAATTATATGTGAAATATAAATTTAGAGATTAATAATGTCAACAAACTATAGATTATACAACTATCTGTATAATGAATTTAAGTTTATAATTTACGAAATAAATTCCTATTAAAAATATTTTGGCATATATTCAATAATTACTCAAATGTATGTACATATATATTTCAATATCGTTTTAGCTTTGAAAATATTATTTTATAGTTCATCAGAAAAACATAAAATCTATAATACGTACAAAATATTAAAAATAAAAAATTTATATAAATAGAAAACAATTGAGAAAATAATAACTCTGATATACTAATAATAATACTAACATAGTTAATAGTATAATACTCTATAATAATAACAATAATACAAGCATTGATAGTAATACTCTAATAATAAAAATAGTAAAATAATAATAATATTAATAGATTCATAATAACTTTCACGAAAAATATTATAAATACCTTTATATTGTGAAGGATATATATTTAATTAAATCTTCCCTTTTTATGACTTAATATCGAAACTTTTTGATATGTGTGTATTAAATATAATCTTTATTGAATCTCTCATAAAAAGGGTTATAAAACAAGAGCTATTTTTTCGCCACATTTTATAAAAAAAAATATACGGAAGAAATAATAGAAATTACAATGATGCATTCAAGAAAGATTGCAAAATGCCAAGCTCTATAGTTTCTTCTTAAGAACTCTCTAAATCGGAATTATACTAAAAATGTCAAAAACTGTTTAACAATTTAAATCAGTGACTGATTTTTTGCCTTTGAATTAGTAATTTTGACTAATAAATTATCTCCATTTTAAATCAATTAAAAATCATAGATTTACCAGACAATCATTGACTGACTTTTTGCTTTTGAATCAGTTAAAAATTACTGATTGTCAGTGAAAAAATAATTGATTTTCAGTAAAAAAAAAAATAACTTGAAAAATTATTTAAACTTGATGACTAATTGAATCAGTTAAAAAAATCTACTGAAACATTCGCTATTTTTAATATTGGCAATCAGTTATTTTTAACTAAATGATCAAGTAAAAATATTACTATTTGAATTAGCGACTGAATTTTTGCTTCTAAATCAGTTATTTTTAACTGATTTAAATTTAAAGAGTACTATAACTAGCAGTCAGTTATTTTTAACTAAAATAATCAATAAAAATTTTACTATTTTAAGTACTGACTGATTTAGAAGCAAAGAGTCAGTCACTACTCACTAATTATAATAGTAACATTTCTACTGACAATTAGTTAAAAATAACTGATTGTCAGTTAAAAATAACTAATGTTTCAGTAAAATTTATTTCTGACTGATTCAATTAGTCAAGTTTAACTAATTTTTTACTTATTTTTGACTGAAAATCAGTTATTTGTAACTGATTCAGAAGCAAAAAGTCAGTCACTGATTGTCAGTTAAAACCATGATTTTTAACTGATTAAAATCAAGAGAATATATTATTATTATTACTATTATTATTATTATTATTATTATTATTATTATTATTATTATTTTATTGTAATTATTTAATTATTTATAAAGTTTCTAAATATTAAATATAGCTTCTTAATTCTTTCATAGTATCTACTATTTTCGTTCAATAAAATTTCCGGTTTATTCCCAGCTTTGTCCTAATTTTTCCCTGTTCTTTTTTCTCATCTAAATTTATTTGTTTTCGAACCTAAATAAATCTACAAAT